AAATTACCTTCTTCAACTTATTCTCTTTCCTATTTACGATTACTGTTGTGATCTGCTGGTCCATGAATATCAGAATACATGCCAACAATGCTGGTAGAAAAGCTAGAGGGACAGTCCAAAATGGATTGCCATCAAAGGGTGGGATGATCCAGCCACGGCCATCCCAAGTGGGCTGCAATAAGATTTGCGAATGCTAGCTTCAGATGAATCTTTAAGAAACTTACACGGAAAGAGCCCGGTACATGCAGTTTAGGAGTATTGATGCCTACGGCCATGTCAATGGAGGTCATGATTACTATGGATATCATAACAGCAAAATCGCTGAATATCTGTCGTATCCGTGAGGGAAAATAACATGAGTTGCGCATTTTCTTCAAACAAAGATAGAGCTGGTAAAACTCAGGACATTAGTGACTGACCTTGAAAGTGATGGCCAAAAAGAAAGTACCGATTGTCAACAGGATGGACATGAGCATCTTATCATAAAGTGGATAACACGACGTACCACCATAAGTACCGCCAACATGCCTGCAGTCTTCTAGGGAAGCCTGAAAGCTAGCTAAATGGTAATGAGGCGATTGCAGATGCTAGTCATTACTATGCTTCCATATGTTTCCGGAAGTTTCTCACATCATTAATGATTTACGTCAATTAATTTTGATTCTCTTGCCAACTCTTAATAATTTTCGCTGTCGCGGATGCTAAACTCAACACGCAGGTCGCCTATACACAGTTTGTAAAGACAGAAAACCAATCTTCCCCCCCCCCCCCCCTCCAAAAAAAGAAAAGTCTCCTTGCGCCTACAAAGTTGGACAATGCTGAGGTTGATAAATGAGGATGTACTGAATAAGGCTTGTAAGGATCCACTCTCTAGCAAATTGTGAGCCTATCATGGTCGCTGAACGAATCTCTTCCCTCTGTCTTTTCTATAGTCGGAAAGTCATTATTCAAGGTATTTCTGAGGTATATAAAGGTACATTCTACTGTGAAATCACGCTATCCAGTAAGGATTGGAAAGTCGAATCGTCAGAAGAAATCGAAATCAATTCTTGCAAGTTATTAGGTTGTCAATAAAGTTTCCGGACACTTGCGAAATTTTTTTCAATGTAACTTCAGGCAGATTCATTCTTTT